GAAATATATATATATATATATAGAGAGAGAGAGAGAGAGCGAGCCCAGGGAAATAAGAAAAAGAATGAACTATTATTTATATGAGGAGAGTTGTGATCTTTTATGACCTTAAAAGCACATTATTTCTGAAAACTCTTCATTTGTGCCCTTACCTGTTTTTGTGGGTTTTTTTCAACTTGGCTAATACCATAGTTTCACATCTCAGTCTTGTTTAATACAATTGTTATTGCTTGGAATCTGAGCTCCTTGAATCACGCTGACTGGCATGGCCAAGAAAGCCAAGGCAAACTAAGCCTCCGGTAAATATGGCATTATTTCAATGAATTGTTTCCAAATGGAATTCAGCTTTATGTAAATACAGAACTGGAATATCATGATAAAAGCCTTAAATTCTCAGAAAACGTTTTATTGTCAGCAGATTACCACAGTCAGTTGTGAAGAATGAGAACAACAGGGTTTCTCTCTTGGTCCCATGTCCTTGGAGCTGTCAGTGCAAGTGCTCCCCTGTGGGATCAAACTGTAGCCCCGGGAGAGGGTCCAGCAGCTCCTCGTAGATTTGGAGAACACCAGTGGCTGGGTCCTTGTAGGCCTTAGTTGGGATTTCAGCCAACTTTGTTTGGGTTTTTGTCCCTTCGTGTGTCTAACAGAATTTATGCATGTTATTGCCCTGGGTTGCATGAATGGTTAAGGTACTGGGTGCTAACTGAAAGGCTGTCAGTTCAAGTCCAGAGGCATTTGAGATGAAAGACCCATCTATGTACGTGTTGTAATCAACACAGTAGCAACTGGTTAGTTTATACAAAGAACGGAGTCTGGAGGCAGTGCCAGCATCCCTGCTCTTTGGGTGCCATCTCCTGTTGACAGCGTCGTTGTTCCATATGAGCAGGCCTTGTTACTCCACCCGCAAAGCCCCGAACTTGAATCTCCATTTTATGGTAACTTTTCATCTTTCCACACGTTTACACATATTGAGCCAGGTCTTCACACTCAGTTTTTCCCGTGTCACTGACTCTTTCTCGTGGATAGTGTTGGATTTGTCGTGATAGCAGAGCACAGGGAACCTGCGAGGACCCGTTCCTGCCTCCCAGCATCCTTCAAACTTGCCCCTGTCTGTCTTCTCCCCTCTGTAACACCTGCTTGGCCATGACCTTCTCTGATCACTTATTACTGCCTGCACCATGCCACCAGCTCGTGAGAGCTCATCTATTGTTCCCTAGAGGAAGCCACGCACTTCACAGGCACATTGCCCTGACATAAAACCTCAGCAGCACCACCTTTTATTGACTCGCTGTAGAGGCTGCTTCATACTTGTTCCAGAGTCGGACAAGGGTCGTCTGTCTTGGGCATGCTCAGCAGGTGGAGTCAGTCAGACTGTCCACGTCATCCGGGACCTTGTTCTGCTGTCCTTGTCTGGTGTACACACTGTTCAGCACCTGGCTCACTTTGGAAATTCCTTGGAGGACAAGGTCCCTTGTTCTGATTCTTGTGTCTAATTAGCTTCATCCAGTGCTAAGTGCCCGGACAGGACAGCCTTCCTTGATGGCCCTGTCAGAAGTGAAATGTTGAGACTGACATAGCACACCTGGGTGAGCAGGCACAATGGATAGCCATAAGAATAGTGTATGCCAAGTTAATGCAGCTGTGTATCAGCAACAAGGTTCCGGTCATGCCACACCAAATAGAAAGCCAAGGCTAAAGAACATACTCTGAGAAGAGGTGGGGTCACAGATCAAAGGTTCCAATAGATACCAGTGAGAACAGAAAAGAAGTTAGGCCTGGCTTCTGATCTGGAGGTGCTTATAGCCTGGTTTGCATAACCACAGAAATAATTACGACATTATTATCAGTAGGAACAATGTGTGTACAAACTAGATGTTGTAGACAATGACGAGGAATTCTAGAGGAGGAGTTTAAGAGAAAGCTTCGGGGCACAAGGTAAACTGGGGATGGGCCAAAAAAGAAGGAAAACATTCCAGGCAGGCAGAGCAAAGGGCATGAAAGTCGATAACAATGAACAAATCCTCACTAGAAGTCTTCATCTGGAAGCTGTTGAAACCTGTCCAGTGTCAGAGCAGCACACAGTCACCAATGACCGACTGATGGCTGTGCTTGAGATGCAGCGGCCAGGAAAAAAGTCCTGGTGATGCGATGTACTTCGGAAAATCAGCCAATGAAAACTTGATGGGGGTTATACCAAGGGTATACCAAGGTGGTCATTTGACTTTGGTCTGGATCTCTTGCTTTGAGGGAGCCCCCGATGAATGGTGGCCCAGGACTACTATATACTTACTATTTTAATGCCCTCCTTGCTTTATTAAGATATGTATCAATCTGGTAGGGCTGGTTCAGCCATTGTCAATGAATATTATTGAAAGTTTTGCCATATCACCAACCCTCATTGTTTGTGTAAATAGTGTCCACTCGCTTAAGCCAATAATTCATGTGGTGTAGTTTGTAGCCAGCCTAAACTTGTATAATGTCCTTTTCCCAACTGTTTTAAATGTTATGCCTTTGGCTAAATTAATGACATGTTTAAAAGAATTACCTTATGGCCCAGAAAATGATTGGTAATGTTCTCTAACATAAAATAGCAATGATGTCTCTAAGGTGAGATATATATTTATAAAGTGTGAGCCTCAGATCCATTCATCTATCTAGATGAATGGATCTGAGGCTCACACTTAATTCTAACCCTAATCTAGTTCTTTTGTTTTATTTATTTAATTATTTTATTAGCAATTTTAATGTTTTTCTGTTTTCTGTGTTTTATACATTTTATATTTTTATTACAAGGGCAGTGAATTATTTAACATGGTTCTTCTAGCCAAAGTTTCTAATTCCTGCCAAGTGACCTTTCTTTCTTTTTTTTTTTAAATAATTAAGTCATTTTATTGGGGGCTTATGGCATGGCCTTGCTTGATACTCACTTCATAAAGAGATCATTGAAGATATAAATGCTACAGTGAAGTGCCGTGCAGAAACTAGATGATGCCTGACTATCAGAAAAGTGTCTGGGATCTTAAAGACTTGTTTTCAAACAAGCTACCGTCTAAGTGAGGTGTCAACTAAGTTCACATAGAAGAAGCACCTTAGGCTGTGTGAGCCAAGGATTGTAAATAATATAATCCAGAACTGAAGGAGGGAATAGTTCAGTTTAAATTCTGACCACCTAGTTTGCAGAAGGATATGGATGACAGTGGAAGCCCCAAATCTGTTTGCCACCCACACATAGATTAAGCCTCTGGTGAATCATCCCTAACCATAGTTGAGGGAAGTGGATAGACTTCTTATCAAACAGAGAGCATTATAGGGATGATTATAGTGACTATAGTTAGGTTAAAATGTACTATCTTATTTGATCTCCCTTTTGACCCATTTAAAATTTCAGTTAAAAAAAATAAAGGGGAAATGCTTGTGGATGAAACCTGTAGTGAATTCCCTCTGACCATGGACCAAGGAGGTAAACAGCCTTGCTACCATGCAGAGTGCATTGGAGAATGGATTATGGCAGGTGCAGATAGGTTAAAATTTAACACTGATTATTTGAGCTCCCTTGTGGCCCATTTTAAGGTTTTGTTTTTAGTATTTTCTGCTTTCTTTTCAATTGAGGTTTTTCTCTATTTTATTTTGTTATCGTTCCCTCTTTTGGTTCCTTGGGGTCTTATGTTTTCCAGTATATGAAATCCAGGGTAGGTGACTGCAGAGGGAATACTTGGATTAATGGTTTCTTGGGGATATGGCAGGGGAGCTTCCAGGGAAATGGTGAATAAATAAGTACAAGAAAGAAGAAAATGTCCTCAAGTTGATTGTGGTCATGATTGCACAACTCTTCTAGATATAATTGAACTATTGAATCGTATGATATGCGGATTATTTTCCAATAAAACTTTTTAAATGAAAAAGAAAACCCTATGGGTCACAGGATTTCATTGTACATGAAGCCAAAAAGAGTTGGAAGCCAATTTCATGGCAACTGACAAGAGTGTATTTCTCCCCAAGTCACATAGCCCGACTGACGACTGACGGGGCGGCGGGGGTGGGGGTGTTGAATTGAGTAATAACAGGGAAGCCGATGCAGGTGAATGGCGAAAGTCAGGTGCTGAAAATCTTCCAAATGTCCCCTTCAATTGTTCACCAGCTACATCTGCTTAGTTTTATTTTTTCTGTTTGTTCTTATTTATTTGTACTAAACTTCTACTCTCCTTCTCATACCTGTCCATCCCACATGTCTACCCATGCAGCTTTTTTTTTCTTTTTTTCTTTTTTCAGTTAGTTCAAGGACTGTTTGTTGGCCCTTAGGAGTGCTTTCCAATCCAGTCTGTTGGGGCACCACGCCCTGGCCCCAAAGTCCACCTTCGGCATTCCCTGGGGACCTCACCGCTCTGTTCCCTTGCTGTCTTGTTGCACCCCCTTAGTGTTTTGCCTCATTGTGGTAGGATCAGATCAGTGGCAGCTTTTTTTTTTCCTTAAAGATCCTTAACTTTATAATTTAGATGTGCTGGAACAACAGCACATTTTCTATTAAGCAATGAATTTTTAATTTCTCCTGTTTTATTGTTTGTGAAAATCTCTGATTATCCCTTTGTGCCGTGCTCTGTGGGTCAGACCAAGCCTCTCATCATTCTGGAGGGGTTGTGGAGAACATGGAAACCTGTTACCATGTGCTATTGACCAACTGATGCGGAGATGCTATTGAGATGCTGATCTGATACCTCGGTAATTTATTTGTATTAGCCTGTCACTTTCTCCCTGGGTCTAATGACATCTGTCTGTACCCATGTGGAATGTAGCAAGGTTTTAAAAAGATTTTGCACACATTAGAAAACGTTGGAAAGTGCTGTTATTAAGAAAAGAATGAACATCCTTGTAAAATTGGCGACGGCTGTTTTAGAAAGTACTCCAAATGATGCTTGTAATTTACCCACCGACCCCTAAGCATTGCCAGGACTTGGTTGGCGAGGTGACTGGAAAGGAGACTGAGAGCTTTTCTCCCTGTTCAGATTGCAGAAGGAATGGCCTACATCGAGAGGAAGAGCTACATCCACCGAGACCTGCGAGCAGCCAACGTCCTTGTGTCGGAGTCCCTGATGTGCAAAATCGCAGACTTTGGCCTTGCACGTGTGATTGAAGACAATGAGTACACCGCGCGGGAAGGTATGCTTTAGTGACAGCTGTTAGATTTCTTTGTTATTTCATTTTGTCTGGTATGTTTGTAACAAAGCAATGACAATGTTCCTAAAGAGAAAACATATATGGTATGATATTAACAAGGAATTCTATGGATCTGTTTGTCATATTATTCTAATAACATTTTTCAAAATGACCCTCTTGAGTAACGCGACGAGATGCTGTTATAAAGTTTAAAACCATAAACACTAAATCCACTGCCGTCTCGGTGATTCTGACTCATTGTAACCCTCTAGAAAGGGTACGTCCAGCTCCACAGGGTTTCCAGGGCTGTCTTCTGAACAGAAATAGACTACCACATCTCTGCCGTGAAACAGCTGTTGGGTTCAAACAGGCAGGCTCTCCATTGTCAGCTACGTACTTTAACCACTGTGCCCACTGGGATCCCTTCTCACAAAGTTTAGATATGCTAAAGATTTATTTCACTTAAGCATAGGTTTTCCCCCAAAAAATAAAACCACCACCAAAGTATTAACTTGACAAGATCAAGCTTATTTCTTTAACATTATATGTTAAAGCATGTCACACAAATGATGAATTACCTTTTCCTTAAATATAGAGAAAATATTTGTAATGTTAATTCTATATACAATGTTCTCTGCCCATTCCCATTGCAATCAAAACACAGAAATGATCACACACCGAGAACTAAATATATTGCTATAAAAATACCCCTGTACTTTTCTATAGTCACTATTATATGTATACTCAAAGAGGCACACAGAGGCAGGAGTTTCCCCACACAGTTCCACCTGGGTCACCTGCAAGGTGGTCTGTGGTCACACAGTCTCAGATTTGGCCTCGGTCTCTTGGTTTTGATGGCTTTACTCACCAAAGAATCAAGAGAATATATTTGCAATGCTTTCCCTCTTCAGAAAGAACCAGCTATTTTCTTAACATGCCCAGTAATTGCTAAGCAGGAAATATTTCTCTTTTAGCTATCGCATGGGTTCTCTCCGGTGCCTTTTGGAAGATGGTGCCACTACGTAGTTGGTTAAGAATTTCTCTGATTTCCTGGTGTTTAAAGTTGATTCTCCTCCTGCCTCAGGCCTGAGCTCTCTGATGTGTTTTTTGGGTTTCGTTTCTTCTGAGTGGCTTGTACAGCACTATGATCATCTCTGGGCTGGATTATTGTCACAGCATGAAATCAGCTAAAGGAGCTTAGTTTGAGAAAAAGAAGGAATTACATAAGATAGTTAAGATGTACAGTGAACCCTCCCCACTTCGCGCTTCGACTTCCGTGGCTTCACTCTATCATGGTTTTTGCGTAACAGCGCATGCTCTGTCATTACTGCCACTGATTGGCTCATACTGTACACGCTTGATGCCATAAATAATATAATAAATAATAAATGACCATTGTAACGTCCAAAATGTTTTACTGTATTTTCCCTTTTTCGTTTAATAAATTGGGTAATACGAGTGTAATGGTGACTAAAGGGTGTTTTTTCATGTCCTCTATGCTCTAACTACGAAAATATTTGATTTACAAATAAGGAATCCTACTTCGCAGAATTTCATTTATCACGGTAGGGTCTAGAACCGATTAACCGTGATAAACGAGGGTTCACTGTACTGAATATTTACAGTGTATTTACATTTACACTGTTTGAAGTGCTCATTATACATTATTTCATGTATCTTACATTACCCCAAGGTAAAAGATAGTATTCCTATTATTCACACTTTATAGATAAGGAAACATAGAGGTTAACCAGCTTTCCAAGGTTACACAGTAAGTGGTAAAGCCAGGGTTCAAGTTAAGGAAGTCTAGCTCCAAAATGACATGAGCCAAAATTTATCCCACTGAGTGCCTTCAGTTAATTCCACTAGCGCTTATCAGTCACAACTGCTGCTGTTAGTTGCCCTTGAGTCAAATGTCTATTCATGGCAACAAGACTGACTGTTTCTGCTGATTGGAGAAGTTCGCTGGGTGGTAGTGCAAGTAGTTAATGTGCTGGACTGCGAACTGAGCCACCGGAGATTCTAATGACACTCAGAGACACTTCAGAAGAAAGGCCTGGTGACCTGCTTCCGGAAAACCAGCCATTAAAACCTGATGGTGCACACTTGAACTCTGACACACATGGAACGAGCATGAGTTGAACTTCGTTCATCACCAGTATTTTCACATGAGACACTGCAGTGTAGTCCTTCCATTCCTTGTGAGACACCGAAGCCGATCATCATTCTACCCAACACCTAAAAGTTTAATAATGCTTTATGTTCTGCTTTATGTTCTTTTGTGCTTCAAATTCCCTACTTATCTCTTTGAGAGGAAACCCAAGAAACATTGCTTCTCAAGAGGATATCACCCAAAAGGGAAAGGAGAGAGGGCAACGTTTTTAGTACATCATTTAGTGCCTTCTTTGTTTTGTACTTTGTGTATGTGTTACCTGTTCAAAATAAATCAGGTTGTTTTGCTTTTGTTTGTTTTGAAAGGAAAATGCAAGGGTTATAGGTTATATACGCATGAGCTTTTTGTTTAAGCTCAGATGACAAATAATAACACTTTATCGTCTTCATTAGGTGCTAAGTTCCCGATTAAATGGACAGCTCCCGAAGCCATCAACTTTGGATGTTTCACTATTAAGTCGGATGTCTGGTCCTTTGGAATTCTCCTGTATGAAATTGTTACCTATGGGAAAATTCCCTATCCAGGTACTGTTTATTTATCTATTTCCATTCAAGTGGCATATGAGAAAACAAACTGAATTGAATGAAAGCATTTTTCTAATCATTTTTCCCCCCAACTGTGTTAATCTGGGTATTTTAGAGAAACAAAGCCACAGAAACTCATATGTATAAGAGAGAGTTTTATATAAAGGGTAAGTGCACATCAAGAAAACATCCCATCCCAGTGCTGCCCAAGCCCAGAAGTCCAACATTAACCCATATGTCCGACACCAATCCACAAAGTCCTCCTCCGTCTCACAAAACACACGCAATGATGCCGACTGCAGGAGGAAAGC